GGACCAAAATTTATCAAGTTTTGATGGGACTTTATCTTAAAAATGAAACAAAACCTAATAAGCTCATGTTAAGTTAAATAAAGCTGAGGGTATCATTGTAGCTGTGTTCAATTAAAGGTGTATGCATTGTGCATGTTCAGTTAAAGTGTATGCTATTTCTAGGTATTGAATTGAAGGAAGTTTCACTTTTCCACAAAATTGCCTGATGGCTTGAAATAATACCTGTCACTCTGCATTTGATGTTTGCATCGCAAAAAATTAAAGAGAGAGTTGTAAAATATTAGAACTCTGTCAACTTTTCCAATTCTCTGGGAGTCAGGTAGCTCTCCTTTAAACCCCTGTTAGGTTCTCCTAGGAATAGCCTCCTTCTTGTTAATTGGTCTCATTCTACTGGTTTCGTGTTTGTGGCTTTGCTTCTGATTTGAGTAATTCTCCAGCCTCAGCCTCGCCCACAGCAGCTGTGTTTAAAAACACCTGGCATTCAAGAGAGAGCAGGTAAAGAATGTAAATGAATCATGTCAAATGGGATACCTGATCCTGGCCGCACCTCACCTTTCCACTCGCAGACAGCGAGGTGACCACCCCACATTGCTATCACAGTGTGTTTGCATTGTCATGATCTGTCTGTGGTCTGTGAAGAACAGCAAATCTTAAAGAGACAGTGAAGACTGTCTTGAGGACTTTTTTCTACTTCCTGTAACACACATTGAGCAACATACATCTAAGGAGCCAGAAAGTGTTGTGCTAGCTACTACTGATACAAAGGTGAGGAAAGCTGGGCTGTGGAGGAACAGAAGCAGGCAGCATATAGGCAGAGCAGTTGGTGTCACGAGCACTTGATGGAGGGGGTCTCACGTGCCCATCCAGAGAGTGTGGGTGCTACCAAAGTCTACAGCCTTGTGGGTTGTAAACAGATGTGTGCCCTGGTCAGACTGCTCCTTTCAGCTTCCCAGGAGAGACAAGAGAGCATCCAAGAGTTGATCTCCAGGGTCCAGAGGGTTTTGGGACCGGAATGCAGAAAGAGCCTGTGAGCCTGTGCCCACCCCATCACTGCCTAGTTGAAGGAAGAGCTGTGGTGATTTAAACTACCAGGCGGAGAGAGTGGAAGGGAACTCACGAGGACCCCTGTCATTCCAGCAACCAGGCCTCATGGAGGAAAGCCAATCTTACTTGCAAGATTGCCATCGACAATCTAGAGAAAGCAGAACTTCTCCAGGGAGGAGACCTCTTGAGGCACAGGTACCCATCCTTTTTTTGTCTTTCTGGGCCCCGAGGGTAAAATTGAGAGCAGTTAGCAAGGTGCCTAATCCATTGTGGGGAACCCCTTCTTATTTTTCTTAAAGATTTATTTATTTATGCATACAGAACTGGGGTACAAGCCAGAGGTGAAGGGGTGGTGAGAGGCTTCACAAGACAGAATGGGGAGCAGAACAGGCAGATCAGTGAAGTACACTGCTGAGGGGAGCAGTGGGTGGGTCAGGCAAGGTCTGCTGTGCCATGTGGGTCAACTCCAGGGCAGGGGATCGAACTCACACTGAAGCGGCTGTGGCCAACTTGCAGTGCTGTGTCTTAACCTGTTGCACCACCAGGGAGAGTCTTTGGTATCCAATTTTATTATACAAGTATTATCTCTAAATATGAAAGAAAATACATGTTTATTCACAGTAAATTGTAAAATAAAGTATGAATGCAAAATGGAATAAACTATAACCATATTGTAAACATTTTAATATATTGCCCCCTCCCATTCTTTTTTCTTCATAATTTTTACAAATTATCATACTATAAATAAAAATTAGCATCCTACTTTTCTTCATATAATATCAAAGATAACTTGGTTTTTTTAAGACTCTACTCAAAATTTTAAGTGTTCCCTTGTATTCATCCTGCGCATGTGTGTGTTTCCATTTCTAGTTTTTCATTATTATAAATAATACACTAGGATACATCATAAAACATAAGGTCTTTCCACATTTTGGATATTTCCTCTGGAGAGATTCCCATGGGTGAAGTGATTGGGGCAAGGCCTGAAGGTTCCTAATACTTGTTGCCAAGTTACTTTGCAGAAGGCAGCACTAGTTTGTGTTCCTGCTGTTGGTCTTTTAAGCGTGTGATCTTAGCACACCTGCTGGCACTGACTCTGATCTTAAAAAAAAAAAAAAAGTTCTAATTTGGTACAAAAGAAAATGGGAATTCACTTGACTGTGGGGCTTTCTTGGGCCAGACTTCTGTTGATACTCCTCTTCCCTCTCTGGATTTGTAGGAAAACCACCAAGGAGAGCCTGGCCCAGACATCCAGCGCCATCACAGAGAGCCTCATGGGAATCAGCAGGATGATGTCCCAGCAGGTGCAGCAGAGTGAGGAAGCCATGCAGTCGCTAGGTAAAGCCAGACTAGAGGGCAAGCTTCTCCTAGCCACTCAGAACCTGTGTGCCAGGCACCTGCCTTGGGCTCCCCCACTTCTCACTCCCTCTCTTCTGTATGTCTTTCCTTGCTTCTTCGGCAGTGTGGTCTCACCCGTTGATCTTATTTCTTTTACTTTTCTTGTTGGTCCTTATAGTTGGACTGGAAGGCCCTTGTGTATGTTTCCTCAGCAGAAACAATCACAGGGATTTAATGAAAAACAGAGACCTCACTCCTCCATCCCCACCCCACGCCCTGTCTTGAGTGTGGGGTGGAAGGGCTTGGGAGGTTTTTTCTCAGGGACTCCTGGGGCCTGTAAGGAATCGTTGCCCCAAAAGACGGTTAGTATATTTGCCATCGAGGCTTGGCCTGTGGTCCAACTCTCCCATGCTGGAGTTCCTTTAAAAGCTCCAGTGAGAAAAAGCTGACAGAGACCATCTGGCTCTCCCTACAGCATTCCCAGAGGGCCTCCTTTGTGATGCAGAATCAGGGGCCTCTCAAGGCTCCTCATCTAGGAAAACAAAATAGTTTGCTTATGGAAAATTTCGTACTACAACATGGAGCCTGAACCCCGTGACCCGTCTGTCCAGCTTCAGCACTCGTCCTCTCACAGCCCCGTTTCAGCGCTGCCCTCATGTGCCCCATCTGGATTATTTTGAAGCAAGGCTCAGACATCATCCATAAATATTTCAGTATCTCTCTAAAAAATAAGATTCTCTGAAACAAACAAAAGTCCCTAAAACTGTAATACTAGGATCACCTCTAAAACTTCTCAATTTGAGCCTTTTTATTCTTCAGAAGCAAGAGGAAAGCAGGCTGCTGGTGCCCAAGGTCACTCGTGTGTTTGAAACTTAGCTGACATCTTAGGCTAAGAACCAGCCCGTCACCTCCTTGGGTGTGTCACCTCCTTGAGTGTGTCACCTTGAGCTCTTGCTGTGGGTGTTGCCCAAACCTGGGGAGATCCCCAGGGACCATGAGAAAGAGGAAACCACCTGGCCTGATCCAGGACTTTTCTGCTCTGACACGGGTGGCAGGAGGCATGGAAGGGAAGCCAACTACAGGCCTAAGTGGAGAGAACATTGTGTGGGTGATGATGGAGAGTTATTCTCCATTTTTGAGGAGAGAAAGCCATTGGAGAAAGGATGCATCATTGTTCTTCATCCTCTCCTGGCGGGTGACAAATTTAGCTTGACTTAAAAACCTGTTTAGATCATGGTATTTTTCAAAGGGATATGGTGTCTGGAGTTTGCAGTAGATTCCTAGGAGTGAGGACATGGGGCACAGGACTGCTAGGGAGTTGGGGGATCTTGGCTATGAATGATGAGCACAGGCTTTTCATGACCCTTTTTTGCTTTTGTGATGAGTTAAAACTCTCTATAATATGTTTAAAAGGAAAGGCCTACTAGGCTTTTGCTGAACATGTTCTTTCTTAGTTTCTTGAAATGGCAGTCAGCCTGGAGAGAGAGGAATGGAGAGGGATGAGAGTGGTTTTATTATGTGAATGGCTGTTGCCCTCTGACCTGTCTTTTTGAAAATACTGCTCTCTTTTCATTGATTTTTAATAGCCTTTAATTTTGTGAAAAGGTAAAATATTATATGAGAAAGGGAAAGAACCTTATGCCAGCATTATCCACTAGAAACAAAATGTAAGTTATTTAGTAGGCACATTAAACAAATATAAAGAACCATGCAATTAATTTTAATAGTATATATATTTTAATATATTTATTTATTTTTTTACATCATGGTTCATTTTTGTACAATGTTAACTTTATCCTCTTAGGTGTAGTCCCCATAGAATTCCCACCACCAATTGACCTGCGCACCATCACCATAGTCCCTTGTGCTCTTCCCTTTCCTGTTCTGATCTCTCTCCTTCCCTCTCTCTCTTGAACATCTCTGATTTATATTTGCCTGCCAATTTTTTTGCTATTATTTTCCCCCTTGATCCTTTATTTGGTTCCTCTATATTCTTCCTTTAAGTGGAAGCATCTGGTTTTTATTTTTCTTCTGAATTACTTCACTGAGCATAATCCCTTCTATCTCCATCCATGTTGCTGTGAATGGCATTAGTTTATCCTTTTTGACTGTTGAATAGTACTCCACTGTGTGTGTGTGTGTGTGTGTGTGTGTGT